AAAAATTTTAAAATGTAAAGTGAGTTAAATTAAAAAAAAAGGATTTAAATAGTGCATAAAAGGACTAAAAAATATGAGGAAAACAACAATGAAATTCACTGAAATATGTACATGACAATTAGATCCCTAAGAATGCCAAATTTCTTGGTACCTTTCTAACATTAATTGTTTTAGATTAATGACTAAAAATTCCTTTATTTAAAATAAAAGCAATAAGTCTGGCTCTATTTTTTTTATTGCAAATTTTGTTTAAACAATCACAAAATTAAATAAGAAATCATAACTTCTCACATGATTTTTTTTAATGATTGATTAATAAGTTTTGAAAATAACAATCCCAATTATAATTTTTGTTTAACCAATCACAACTTTAATTCTATGAATCACAAAAATTGGACAAGAATCACAACTTTTGAAGTGAAATTTCTTTTATCATTGAAGTTCAAGCTCTGAAAATAATCAATTACAACTTTTGTTTAAGAATTCACAATTTTATTCTATAAATTGTAAAAATTAAATAAGAAACACTACTTTTTATGTAAAATATCTTTTTCATTAAAATTTAAATTCTAAAATTAACCAATTACAACTTCTATTTAAGTAATCATAACTTTTATTCTATGAATCACAAAAATTGAACAAAAAATTACAACTTTCTATATGAACCCATTTTTTTTTATTTTAAAAAGTGGGCACTTTAATCATTTTATTTAAAATGATTAATGTCAAAAGAATACATAGGGACTTTGTCGTTTATATATTTTGGTTTATTGTCATTTTATTTAAATATTACTTGCTCCCATCTTTTATAAATCGCTTTCACGATTTTCACCACAATCATTGACACTTAAACTCATCAAGGTTCTAACTAGGCTTCTAACAGAGGTTATTATCCTTGACGGTGGCATTATAACAAAAGAGAGAAGACAAATCATTAGCTTCGATTGAATTATTTGTGCCATCAACTGGATCCCATTATCATATGACGAATAAGAAATTCATACTTCATACTCAATATTTTAATCTCTCGACCTCCCATGTAACGCGCAACAATCACGTGCCTCAACTATAGTTCATTGACTTGAGTCGTTCAATGCATATAAATTAATGGGGAGGCTACAGCTGGTAGCCACACTGTCAATTTAAATGGTGATGCACATTCATCAGATCCAATGCATTATATATATATATATATATATATATAAGTCATGTCCATTTTAAACAACGAAGAACAAATCAAAATACACTGATATTTGTAGCATTATAACCAAATATAGAAGAAACATTACAACTAGGCATTCTGCTAAAATATTCATATCATTTAATGCAGTGCCATGATCGATCACATGCTAATGTCTTCTAAATTGTTATAAAAGAAAGAAAAAACTACATATAGGTCTCATAGAGCACACTAATTTATAGATAAGTCCGTCACAATTCTAAAACAACAACTAGATCCCTTGAGACCAGAGTATAACTAGAAATTGAGATACAAAGAAAATAATACTTTTATTAAAAATACATTACATTTATTAAATAATTTATAGCTATTTCATTAGTACTTTGTAACTATCGTTTTAACTTTTTATAACTGTAACTTTACATATTTAATAGTTAAACTGGTCATGTGTTACTAATAAAGTTTAACACTAATTATTTACAATTATCTCATCAATAATTTATAATTATCACTTTAATATTTTACAACTATTGCTTTAGTATTTACTATCATCTTTGTACCTTAATTTCAAATTACACCAAGATTTCTAGGGACATTGCTGTGGTTTTTAATTTTGTGGGACTCATTTGTAAATAATTTGCTCCACGGGATTAGCACGTAATGTTCCCTGAAATAAATGACTTCATATATGATGCAAAGACCGACCATAGTCATCCCCACAAACATTTTGAGCCTTGTACAATTGATTATAGCACTAGTTGTAATGAGCAATTCGGATGATGTTGAAATTCATGCGGAAGAGAACCATTCAGACTGGAGGTCTGAATGTGGTAAAGAGATGCGTGAACTGGTGGAAAATAAGTTCAGTTCGTCACATGATGATAAGAAGCAGTCAACTGGAAGCATGATGTTAATGAAGCCGCAATTTTCATCCATGTTCTATAAATTGTATAAGGCTATTCGCGATCGGGAAAAAGATGAAGATGGCTTTGTTTCACTCTTGAAGTCAACATGTACAGTAAATAAAGTTGATTTGGCCACCATTTTTAATAATGTAACTCCCACTGGTGATTCGTTGCTTCATGTTGCAGCTGAGTTTGGTAGAGAAGAAGTTGTGGAGCTGATTGCTTCTCACTATCCCAATCTTCTGAGTAAGGGAAATAAGAAAGGTGATACTCCACTTCATGTTGCTTCGCGAGCAAAGAATGTTGAAGCGATCAAAGTTATTCTCCTCGTTACATCAAAGAAGGCCGAATTGATAGATAAAGCCGAATTCGTAATGTTAAGAAATAATTATCAGAGGACGGCTTTGCACGAAGCTGTTTTGAGCAAGCATTCAGATGGGGTGGTTCTGCTTTTAGATGCACATAGGAGAAGTGATTTGGCTGCCTATTGGACTTGGAACAAGAATTATGGATGCAAATCACCAATGTATTTGGCCGTCACGATAAAGAATATGGTGATTCTTGGTCATCTCCTAGAGAAAATTGCAATTCCTTCAGATGACCAGGCCATTTCAAGTGGAGACTCTCCGCTTCAAGCTGCGATATTAGAACGAAATACTGGTCAGTACATGTATTTATATTTACTCATAAATTATAACATGCTTGCTGCTTTTGATCAGTTTGTTTTTCTTTCACCTAATATGTGTTTGTTTTTTAGTGAAGAACTATTGAAATACATAGTGAGACAAGGACCAGAAGAGCTCATGTATCAAAAAGATGAAAGACACAACACTCCCTTTCATTATGTAGCATACGCTGGTTTCTTGGGAGTTGTTCATATCATGTCAAAATGTTCTTCTCCCTTGTTTGCTTTTCAGCAAAACTTAGACGGCAATCTTCCAATCCACCTCGCCTGCGAAAAGGGCCATGTTCAAGTGGTAAAAAAGCTGCTTGAAATTCGGTGGTCTGATGCTGGATTTTGCCTGAATAATGAAGGACGAAACATTCTTCACGTTGCAGCAATCAAGGGACATGCAAATGTGATAAAATACTTATTGAAAAATCCTATGATTCATCGTGACACTGTCAATGAGAGAGACTTGTATGGAGATACCCCGCTGCATCTGGCTTCAAAAAAATTACATCTTTGGACTCTGCTCCTTCTTTCACAAGACAGAAATATCAATGCGAATCTGGTGAATAGTGAAGGTTTAACAGCTCGAGACGTTGTTCGGATACAATGTAAAACTCCAATGACACGTCAAGAGGTATATATGATTAATACGTATCTATGATTAGCTGTGTCTTCTAATTTTATAGAAGAATACAAGGTTCATTTTCTTGCTGAAAGGATACGAAATGGAATGGATTGGAGAAACAAAGACAAAAATAAAATGAGGAATATGTGAAAGAGAGGTAGTTCAATCATGTTCATAATGAGAGAAGGATAATTTCATTCATAAGGTTGAAAGTCTTGATTTTCATGAAAGATTGTGAAAGATGTGATGTTTTCTATATTAATAATATTTGGTATTGAGTTTTATCATACTTACGATGACAAGAAGGATAACATAGTTCATTTTTATTTTATTTTTTAATTTATTTCATTCACATCATTTCTAGCCACCAAACAGCTCTATGTTATGTCACGCATACTTGTTTGATTCAATTATGATGCAGTTCTTAGCGGATGTGATTTTAAGAAGAGCTGGGGTGCTGCTCAAGGCAAATATGCTAGGTGTGCCCTGGGAAGTATCAGCCAACGAAGATTGGAAAGTGAAAGACGCAGCTGAAACACTCATACTTGTGGCCATACTGATAGCTACAGTGACATTTGCTGCTGGTTTCACAGTACCAGGTGGGTTTTACTCTTCTGATGACCCAATCACAAAACAAAGAGGCTTGGCACTTTTAACTCACCAAACATTATTCAAGGTATTCATGGCTTTCAACACAATAGCCATGTACAGCTCCACCATTGGTTCTACTATTCTTCTTTGGGTCCCGCTAGGTGATCTTCGTTTTGCAGAAAGAGCGTACGGACTTGCTAAGATTTTTGTTTATGTTGCTCTTATAACCATGCCTGTGGCATTCCTAGCTGCTATACGTTTGGTTATCAGCAATAACACGTTGCTTGCAGATGTCATCAGTGTCATTGGATTCATCTCCATTTTCTTCATCTTATTTGTTCGCATCTTAGGAAGGTTTCCTCTTGGATGTCGTCTTCCCATTTTTCGTCAACTAGGAGATTTCTTTATATGGATTATTCTTATTTTATTTTATGGAAGCAATGACATTTTTGTTGAAGATGATGGTGAAATTGATCGAGAGTCTCAAGATGATGAAGCCAACCAAATCAATCTAGTCCGTAAATATTATTCCCTACTTTCTCGTTTTGTTGCTTTCCATCTTCCTTGCTTTGGTTTGCCTCTATCTGCTGTGCGCACGTAGGAGCCTCTGGTGAAGGGGTAGTTGCTGTTTTGATTTGTTACTTTCGTTACTGTTTTGTTAGTGATTACAATTATGGTTGTAAAGCCGACTTAGTTGTGTGTTTGTTTTTAGGCTACCTTTTACAAAAGTCCATTTGAAAATCCAACTATCTATTAGATTTAGTAAAAGTATATTCCAAATGTAATCTGAAGGTGTTTTTTATGGTTACCCAAACAAGCTTTAAGTCTTCTTTACCATTTCAAAATATTTTTACCTTCAAGATGGCCCAAATGTTAAATTTTAAGTAAAATGTTATAAAAAGTTATGGCTAAAATTGTCACGCCCCAAAAATAGAGAGTAATGGCATTAGTGTGAACCACTCACACATCCCCGTAAGCCTTGAAATGAAAATTTATTCCATTTTTATAAAAGGAAAAAAAATTAATCAAATTACATGAGAATTAAAAGAATATATATATTTTTTAAGCTAATTGTCATAAGAAAGTGTCGACGTTTATGGAGAAATTTCAGTAGAACCTCCCCTGTAATTAAGATCTCCTGAAAATTCTACAATAAAAATTTCTACAGATAACAATATAAATCAAAAGCATATCTCCTTCCAACCAGCAACCAATGTACAAACCAAAATAAAGTCTACCAACAATCTATGTGGAGCATTTATTTTTCCTTTTAAACAAAAAAGACATACAAATTATATATTTACATTAAAAGCAACAGTACCAATCAAAAATGTCCATCCACTATAGTTAATTTCCCTTTGGAGGTCAATGGTGGGATCGGCGTCAGCTAACAAATCTGAAACCAAAATAATTTTTTCAGTAAATAGCATTTCCATGATAAAATTCTTAAAATTTAAAATCAATAAACTCTAATAATGGTGTCAACTAATTAAAATAATTCCTCAAAGTTTTATAGATCGGTAGGTCATAACCATAATTGTAAAATATGAGTAAGTTGAAAACGATTTATGCTATCATACTTAAAAAAAATAATTTACTCACATATAACTCAAAGTGGTAAAATTGTTAGCCAAAATCATGTAAATTTTGAAAACATATTAATCAAAATTTAAAATTTTGAGAACTCAACAGAATAGGCAACAAACGTGAACACATAGTCCATGAGGATAAATAACCAAACGCAGCTTATACCACAGAAATAAACGTGGACACCCGATCCACGAGGATAAGTAACCAAACGCAACTGAAGCTACAAAATAAATGTGGACACAGTCCACGAAGTTAACTAACCAAATGTGACTTAGGCCACAAAATCAAACGCGGGTATAAAACCCATGAATACCAAACGTGAGAGTACAACTCATGAACCAAACTAGCTAGTGTTTAACCACAGCGCTACAGGCTCACCGAACTGTCGTTAGCAGCAGTGTTCTGTTTAGAGTCCTCTCAAAAATCGCGTTTCAAATATGTGAGAAAAATAATTAATTTTGAAATACAATCTACATTTTCAATACTAAACTCGCATGCATCATTTTAAATTTCAATTTAAGACCTGCTGAAAATAGTCTTTCATAAAATAATATATGAGCTTGCGTTATCTAAATAATCAAGGATTTCAAGAGTTTAATAAATGAAATAATTTCATAAATCTTTGAAACATATTCCCTAAGGAAATAAATGCATATATCATCCTTTAACCATCCCACATCGATGTCTCAAAGTTTCAAAACTAATGTAATTCACAAGAATAAAATATCTCAATGAAAAATTTGTTAAAAAATAAAAATACTAATAAAAATAAATTAAATGGAATGCTATTCACTTACTTGTTGCACTTTCAAATCTCTAAAATATTCTTTCTTTAATTTCTATTAGGATCCTCTTCCTCCACACGTCCTATGAAGATATTAGTAGACAAAATTTAATAAATCATCTTTTAATTTACAAAGGCTTCCTTCTAAATTTTAGCTTCTATCGATATCCAGTTATTTCCAAGTGAGAATTAAATCCACACTATCATCATCTCCCTTTTCTTATTATATATTTCAACTTAATTCAAGTTTTTTTCCTCCATACAACACACATATAGTCACAACAGCAGCACAAAGGAGAACAATTTTCAACATCCAACTCTATTATTCCATCCATTCACATGCACAATAGACCAACAAATTGAAAGAATGCAAAATTTCTCACCTTAGTTAGCGGACAGTGCACACACACGTGGGGAGGAAGAAAACTGAATCTACAACTGAATAGGGGAAGAAGAATACAGTAATATTTCAGCCTCAACCCATGAATTAATTCTTCCATAACACCATATCAGCTCTTCTTTCACTTCCCAACCACAAACGGACAAAATAAAGGAGGAAGAGACCAAGAGGCTATCAACCGAATAGGAAGAGAAGATGAGATTTTTGTCTAAACCAAAAAGAAGGAAAACAAAGCATCACTCACAAGAAGAAAAATGAACTCAGCGCTGATTCAGATTCGTAATCAGTACACCCACTCCAGCGACCTGATTTCTTCCATTGGCCAATAACCCAGATGTGCACAGTAAAGATAGAACAGCAACATGAAAAAGAAAATGAACAGAGGCAGGGTGCACAAAGAAGGACCTGGACATATCAAAATAGTGATAAGCCTCCACTTCTATTGTATTGGTACCGAGCACAGAACAGAGCAGAGGATGATGATGGGCAGTGACTTTCTTTCGGCTGAACCTAGAAGCTTTACAGACGAAATTTTTAGGTCCCTCTTTAGCTTTGTACACGTGTATTGGAAAGGAGAGAAGAGAATAATAATCAAATGGAAGAGAGGGCTGTTTAGTAATTTTGGAGGAGCTAAAACCAAAAATAAAATCTTATTTAGCATCAGGAAATTTAAACTTGGGATCTTAGTAATGGGTATCATACACACTCCCACTCTAGCAACACTTCATATTGTTATAATGATCCCAAAATTAATATAATTATAATTAATACACCTTATTATATATTTAATAAATTTTTTTTTCCACAAAACTTTATAGGTTATTACAAAAGTAATACCTTTCGTTCTTTAACTTTATATAAAGTTTTATTTTTATCATTTAATTTTATAAAATATCTTTTCAATCATTTAACGCTAATACCATTAATTTCATTATAATAAATTTTTAAATTAAACTTTGAAATATTAATAAAATATTTTCAAATATTGACATATTAAATTTAATTTTTTTTCAACATTATAAAAATAATTATTTAAAACTAATAATATTAGAATTAAAAAGCTAAAAAGGTACTTTATAAAATTAAAAAACTAAATTAAAATCTTATATAAAATTAGAGGATCAAAAGTATATTTTAGTCAAAAAATTATCATCTACGTTCAATGCATGACACAGGAAAACAAAATAGAGAGAATGACAAAATCCCAAAATAGAGAATTAAGAACTACTAAGTCCCCGATAGAATTTTTTGAAAAATCAACTGCAAATATTGATTTAGATAGTTTTAAATTTAAGAGTTTCCATTGCAAATAAGAGATTTAAATTTTAAATATAACTCGCAATTTGTAATTGCAATTCTTATTTACAGAATCAATATTTGTAATTGATTCTTTAAAAGATTTGGTAAGAACCTTATTGTCATAAATTTCTTATTTAATTACCTTTTTTGGTTAGTCTTTCTCTAATATTTTGGCTTGTCATCCTTATTTAATTTCAGTATTCTTTCATTTGTAAACTAAACAAATGATCACTCCGAATGTTTTATAAATTTGTTCACCTATTATTACATTTAAAAGTCCATCTTGGTGTTATTTACAATAAATTGGGTTCATTTTTAAAAGAAATTGAGGAAATTACTAATTAAAGGTTGAGTGGATAGTGCTCAATTTTGAGTTGGATTTTGGGCCCAGTTCTATACTAATTAATGCATCATCATGTTTAAGGCTTGGGCAAGTCCAAAAGAATGGATTGGTAAGAAATAACATTTAGATGCCTTTGCTCCGGCAAAAAAAATTCACTGTAGTGTAAATTTTTAGTATAATGCAAAGTTTTGAAATCCAAACCAATGTGAGGGTCTGAGGGTGTTGAGTTTGGATATCTATCAATTCGTACAACAAAAATTCATCCTCACAGGGGAAAATGACATCAAAGAAAAGTTGGAGAAGGATTAATTAAAATTCAAGGGTTTGGCTAGAGCCAAGAATTTGGGCTGGGCTCAATTCGGGCCGAATTTATTTAGATCAAGTTTAAAATATCATATCCTCTTAAGAAAAAACATATCTAGCCAAGCCCAACCTTAACTTTTTCCAGTCCGATTCGTGCTAGCCCGTTGAACTTGGCCAAAATTACCGACTTTCCAATCATGTAAAGCCAACAATTGGGCTTATTTGAATCGACTCAATTCGGGCCAGCTTATTTTGGTTAGACTTAAAGAATTTCACTCTCTTTAAAAAATTCATATAGCCAAGCTCAGCTCTAATTATTTTTAGACAAGTTCAAATTAGTCCGTCAAGCTTGACCTAAATTATCTGCTCTGAGTTTAGCTCAAGATTGCTTTTATTAATGTTTTTTCACATACTCCACTTTCTCTTTATTTCAATGTATTTGTTGCTTTAGTTTGTTTTTATTAGAGCCATATGTGATTAATTTTCTCTTGACCTTGAGTAGCTATATATGAACTAATATAATTTATGAATTAGTTTGAACTAATTAGTTTTATTTATTCAATCTTTTTTACTTATCTATGTAATCTTGGCCATTGTTTAGTAAGAAATTGGGGATTAGGTTTTGAATTAGAAAGGGGACTCTTAATTGGACATAGGATTAAGTAAAATGAGATTGAAATTTATTCTAATTTAACACTAAGATAGGAATATATATATATATATATATATATACTCTTGAACCCATGCATTCATAGTAGAGCACTTTGACTGTCTCTTGAGTAATTTTGTTTTAACAATAACATTTTTAACTCAACGAGAGGTGTAATAAATTTGAAAGACATTTATTTCTTATAATGCCCTAGATTAACAAATTAATATCACACACATTAATTTGAATAATCACATGCTTTATCAATTGAGAAAAGGAGATTAGCCACTCTAAGTTATCTTAAAGATTGTGATTTCATTGCTGCTAATTTTGTATGTGAAAGGGATTTATGGAAACTAGGTGATGTTACAAAAGACGTTTAGATTGATACTAGTTATCAACTAATAATATTATTTT